GGCCATATCTTAGATTATGATATGAGATGTCCACAATAGGCAAACCTAACAGAGACCAAAAGAAGATTAGTGGTTGGCATGGGGGAACAAGGACTGACTACTAATCGGCACTGGGTTTCTTCGGTGGGTGATAAAATGTTCTTAGAGACTGGTGATGGTTGCACAACATTATAAATGCACTAACAAACACTGAATTGTATAAAATGACTGAAATGGTGAATTTCATGTTAATTTGGATTCTAGCTCATTAAAACTACATATAATCACAAAATACATATTATGTGTATATATATATGACATAATATACTGACCTCTATGGGTATTCAACACTAAATCTATTAGAGGATTCACAATACTATCCTAGTTATGGGTACAACACACAAGGCCTGGTTCACTAAAGCAAATGGGAAAAACGGAAGAACTGAAACCAAGAATAACTCACTCCTATTATTCAATTGTTAATTTATTTACTGATGCTTAATTGGGCCAGAAACTGTGTTAGAGTGAATAAGACATGATCCTCACCTTCATAGGACTCCTAGTCTAGCAGGGGAGCTGGACATTAACCAATGACTCAAATAAATCTTGAACTTGTAATAAGGAGCCTAAGGTGAAATATTACATTTGGTGATACAATGTAACAGGCAAACCTGACTCAGAGGAGAAACTGGGCAACAACCACTCTGAGGAATTTCTATCTAGTCTATAACTAGAGATGAGTTTTAGCCTGGTCTGAGGCTAAGAGTCTATCCCCCAGATGTAACAGCAGTGCAAAAGTCCTGGGGCAGAAAAGAACTCACATTAGAGAAACACATGAAGGCTAGCTGTGACCAGAGGGTAGTTTATAAGAAAACGACTGTCACAGAATGAGGCTGGGGAAGTGAAGAGGAATTGGTCTATCCAGGGCCTTACGGCCACTCTGAGCATTCTCACTTTATATACTAGGTACAAAGGGAAACCACCCAGAGGACATCTGACTCCTGATTTCAGCTCAAGTCATGATCTCAGAGCTGTGAGATTGAGCCCTGTGTCAGGCTCTGCACTCAGCACAGAATCTGCTTGAGATGTTCTCTTCCTCTCCTTCTGTCAACCACCCTGCCCTTACACTCTCTCTCTAAAATAAATAAATCTTTAAAAATAAAGATAAAAAAAAAAAAAGGGAAGCCATCCAAGAATTTCAGCGGACAAGTAACATGATCAACTTGTGCCTTAAAAGCATCCCCAGGCTCCCACTGTGCAGAAGGGGTTAGTTAGAGAAGAGTGAAGAGGACAGTTACCAGTTAGTAGGCTAGCCCAGTAATGGCTCAGCAAGGGGGATGAGGTGGAAAAAGAAGACATTTTCAAGGTCATTTTTGCAGTTTGGGAGTCATCATATATTCTATTTTACAACTAAAATTTAGTGATGTGGGGGCGGGGGGAAGCCTTCCAGAAAGATCAAAGCATAAAAAGAGATTACTTAGCCAGGATTCTAGACACATTAGCTTCAGTCCAGTAACAAACCAAATCCTACAAAACACTTCAAGCCACGTCCAGGAGTCCTGCAGTCTTTTTATATAACTGAACCCACTTCTCGCAGGGTATTTTCTTTCTACCAAGCTTTCAGACTGGTTAAAAAAGAAATCCAGATAGAGAAGTAAAAACCCAAAAGTTCACTATGATGAGTGCAGGTAATGGTTGGTGTCCTCACTTTGACCCAACTACAAACTAGCTTATCCTCAGAACATTTCTTTTCTATAAAGGAACCATTCTGGGAGAGAAACACCCTGCTTAACATATGCTCAGTTAAAGGCTTCAGTTAAACACGCACACACACACAGAAAGAAATATGCACAAAGTATTCCACATTATTCATGTACATCTGTCTCAAACTGCACTCCAGAGACAGAAGCAGAACACAGAGGCTGTGATGGATATTATACAGCTTCTAAAGAGTAAATGAATGACTTTCATTGTAGTAGTAAAGCAACTGTACATCATACACGCATATATGTGTGCACTTCTTTTCCTCTTAAAGTAAAAGCCTGCTATCCACATAATATTTACACATAAAGTAAATAATCACTTCAAACCCACAGTGGATCAGAAAAACAAAATTTGTGAATATCCTTATATCCTTATAGCCCAAGACATGCATAATAAAATCTAAGGCAAACTATCTATCCAGCTCCCCCAGAGCATACTGGAAACAAAGTAGAAGGATGGATATAATCACGACTAATGATATACTTTGCAACATATACTCTGTAAGTAGCCGTGTTCTATTTTTCATTTATACTGTGAAAATTAGTTTTGCACCTAAAAATGCAAAATGAGAAGAGATATTGTTTAGCCTCAAGCAATCACTTCATCATTTCCATCTTTATCACTCATAAGGTTTCAGCGTCTTTGAGGTTGTAATGATACCTTACAATACATTGCACGGACACAGTTTGCAAGAGAACTGTTTCAAGCGCTCCTGGTCCTCCTTGACTCCTTACACGTTAAGACTCTACTCTTCTTTTTGTTTGTTTAAAATTATTTTTATTAACATATAATGTATTATTTGCCCCAGGGGTACAGGTCTGTGAATCATCAGGCTTAACACATTTCAAAGCACTCACCATAGCCCATACCCTCCCCGATGTCATCACCCAGCCCACCCTATCCCTACCCTCCCACCCCCTAGCAACCTTCAGTTTGTTTTCTGAGATTAAAAGTCTCTTATGGGGCACCTGGGTAGCTCAGTGGTTAAGCCTCTGCCTTCAGCTCAGGTCATGATCTCAGGGTCCTGGGATCAAGTCCCGCATCGGGTTCTCTGCTCTGCAGGGAGTCTGCTTCCTCCTCTCTCTCTGCCTGCCTCTCTGCCCACTTGTGATCTCTCTCTGTCAAATAAATAAAATCTTAAAAAAATAAAAATAAAAGTCTCTTATGGTTTGTCTCCCAAGACGCTACTCTTCTTTAAGAAGACTTCCTCACCCTTTATAGTTGAGCTCATTGTCATCCATCCTCTCCTCCGTCCACTGTCTCTTGTATTTATCTCTGTCCAGACTTACAACTGCCTCCCCTTCCAGACAAGGAGTTCCCTGAGGCTTCAAGATCCCAGAACCTAACAGAGCCTCACTCATGAAAGGTTCTCAAAGGCTTGTGAAATGATATGAATGAGTAAATTAATCTGATCCACCCAATCTCTGTATTTAATTTTTTTCCACCTGCGTTATCCTAAATATTAATAACCCTCAATCCAATGCCATTTCAGATGATTCTCCATTTCCCCCCATTTTTTCCATTTCCTAATAGAAGGGGATTTCTGATTTGAGGTACTAAACTGCTTAGTACAGTTTAGTACTAAACTGTATAGTTTAGTATATAATTGGTTCACGAAAACCAATTATAAGAATAAGTAGAATATTGTTTGCTGCTCAGGTTTATACACATGGCTTACAGAGTTTGAACAGAGAAAGGAAAGTAGTTCATACAGAGTTTGAACATAGAAAGGAAAAGGCCTTTACTCCCCATATTCATATTCTATGGTGTCATGTCACTCTATCACTCTTGCTATTGACCTTCACATCAGGTATCATTTTTATAAAGGGCCCCATTTATCACGACAAAGATGTCCTTGGCAAGGACGAAGGGAATCCATGAGTTAAATCTGTCATTCCGGAATAAATTATTTAGCACCACTTACATCCTGAAAGCTCTGAGCCGCCTACCTTGTGGTTTAGGGCACTCTCTTCTATGTTTACAATTTCCCAATAGTAAAGCAACAATTTAATTCCATAGTGCAAAATCAATACAACTTAAATTTAACTATTGGAACTGACACTATCTAGCAAACTAAAAGAATTATTCATCCACTGACCTGAGATCATTGTAAAGCTGCTTCTACCAAGAGGTACTTAGGAACCACTCTACAATTTAGGAATGAATTCTTACTGGACTTATAACAAAGCGATGCCCTCCCTCTCCCCCCTTGCATGAAAAGAGTGGGATCCCTGGAGCCCCCTAAATTCTGATCACACAGACCCAGCTTTGACTCAACTCTATCAAGGGCCTAGATTTTGAACGTGAGATCATCCTTGGAAACACAAGGAGCTATGGTGGTAGTAACGAGAGACAGCCAACCGGCTTGAAATACATTCTTTCACTAGTTTAGGGTTTTTGTCAGACACGATTGCTGATCATCGTTCACTCTAAATTACATTAGTAGTGCAACTACGAGTGGGAAAGTTTGGTGCAGCCGTCAAGGATTCCAGTGTCATTTATCTGGAATGACCAGGCACCCGCCGCTTTTGTTGAGTGGCAAAAGCTGGTGCTGTTTTCAGACACACCAGCGGATGAATCTGAAAGCGGCACCCTTCTCAATGAACGAAAACTGGTGGAAACGGCAAGAAGATGGAAGGACTGAGAATAATGTTCACCCCCACACCGAATATTGATCATATGCTCTGTGGAAGGTCCATTGCAGCTGAGAGCCTGAGGATGGGAAGCTAAAGGGTGAGCAGTGTGGGTCTGAGCCCTTAGATTCAACAAGCTTCCGGAGTGCCCGATTCAGTCCACCTGCACGTAACTCCTTCCCTGGCACCTGTCATCAGGAAGGCGTTTTCTCTTTCAACTGCTCAGAGCAGCCAACAGAAAATTGGGGGGGGGGGGGGGGCAGTCAGGGAGCGGATTGCAGCAGCAGCAACCTAGTGCCAGACCAGAAGGGAGCGTTAATCAGCTTATCAGCAGCCCTATTACTCAACGGACAATTGGGGTTCCTTCCCATCCACCCTTATGTCCAATGCGCGCTCTCAAGGACAAGAGGTTAGATCCGGCAACAGCCAAAGCTAGGCCTGTGAGGCAGCAAGAAAAAGACCAGCCTCACAGCGAACCGGGAGATGCTCGAGCCCTGCCTCCTCCTCCCTGGCTCGCGATGCCGGCTCGGCCAGCGCCCCACAGGGAAACCGGGCCTCGCGCCGGCTCAGCATCCCTCCTCCAGCTCCCGCTCTCCCTCTTCCAACCGCGCCAGTGCCACCAACCTTGGGCGTGCGGATGTGCTCCATGGTGGGCCCACGTCTGCAAGGTCCTGGGCAGGCGCGGCCTCACGCACCTGCGCGCGTCTGCAGAGCGGCGGGAGGGGCGCGGGGAGGGGGCTTCGCGCCCGGGAGCGGGCGGGCCACAGGGCTTGGCTCCGCCTCCAGGTGCGGCGGCGCCCGCGCGAGTCCGGCGTGCGGGCCCGGGGCGCCAGCGCGGCCCTAGAGCGCGCGCGCCCCGGTGTTCCGGCCACCTGCCCTGCGTGAGGCCGCCCCGCCCAGTCCTGGCTGGGGTCGCTGAGAGCCGCTGGCTCTTCTTTAAGAGGGGCAGCCAGCGTAATACTGTGGCGCTACGGTTCCCCAAGACACAATGGGGGCCTTGTGTTGGGTGTGGCCTCTTGGAGGATTGCTGGGGAGTACGCGCAGCTCCGCACCGCCCATTGATGGGCTTCCTTCCAGAGCGTCCCAGGATAGGTAGGACTTCAGTGTGGGGCAGGAAAAAGGCTGCCACTTGCACTCTGCATCCTGGACGGGCTAGGAGGCTATGTCTGTATGTTTGAGCGCGTGAGCAGCTGGCACAGCATTTGGGATAAGGGTGGCAATAATAGCAACAGTGTTAGAGCCTTAGGAGGTGTTTTATTACGTCAGAAATCTCACATCAACCTGCCACTTAACTGTTAGAAGAGATGCCTTCCCTTGGGACCGTGTTGGGTGCTCATCTGCCATCTTCACTTAGCTCTAACTGAACTAGAAAGTAAAGATACAAAACATCCATGATAAGGTGTCATTTTTCTATTCATGATATTAAGAGTAGTTGTTGCTATTGTTAATATCTCGCTATGGGGGGAAAGCCTGAGAAGAAATGCCACCACCACCTCCCCCAACCTTTTTTTCTTGCAACCTTAAGTGCACAACCTTCCATTATAACTAAAATTTCACAAGACTGTACATAGTTCTTAGAATAATATCCATTCAATTTTTCCCTAGCTTTTATTCATCTCTCTTTCTAATTGGATCATAAATTCTTTAATTGTAGAGATTCTGGTGTTTGTTTTTTGTTTTTTTTTTTTCTAGCTCTTGTTGTTAAGTGCATGGTAGGCACAATGCAGCTTTCTAAATAACTGTTTATTTTATTTTTTAAAAATATTTATTTATTTGACAGACAGAGATCACAAGTAGGCAGAGAGGCAGGCAGAGAGAGAGGAAGGGAAGCAGGCTCCCTCCCGAGCAGGGAAAGAGCCCGATGCAGGGCTCCATCCCAGGACCCTGGGATCATGACCCGAGCCAAAGGCAGATGCTCAACCAACTGAGCCACCCAGGCATCCCTGCCTAAATGATCTTAAAGGGAGCTTCCATCTCCAAGTCCATAAATATTAGGAATCCTGTATTCGTGTTGGGGTTTGCATTCTGAATGGGATAATAATCTTGGAATTATGTGATTTCAGGGCTCTTCTATCCCTCTACTGGTATGGAAATCAAGAGTTTACCTGGTGAGTAATTTTTGCATACCACTGACCTTCATATTAGCATAGTTTTTTTTAAGTACTCACAACACTAACTGGTACATGAAAAGACATAAATCTGAACGATGTACATGGTCTAATTTTAAGAAAAATTTTCCAGATTAGTTCAGAAATCCATCTTCTACTATCATAGCTATAAAATCAGCATTAGGTTAAAATGAGTCAAAAATAACATCCAAATTACTGGGGTAAATTAGCATAGAACAAGCTATGTTAATAATAAATTTATAAATTTATATTTTTAAAAATTTATAAATAAAATAACAGGGAAAGAAATCTCTATAAGTAGATATTTTAGTCTGCTCTAACAATTCTCGGAAGAACCCAACCTCCCCAACTCGTCCCTCAGCCCCAGTGAGTATTCAGATTATTAGATCACAAACTGTGTTGACCCTTGCCAGCCACTCAGCACTTTCTTCTTACACTGCCTCGTATCTCCAAGTTTCACTGCTTCTCTGAACCACCACTCCATGCAGCAGAAGAGATTAAACAAAGCAGCAAGGGTTAGAGGGCAATGACTTGAGGGAATATAGAGTACATCACTGAAATGCTAACTATGCTGCTTCTAAGTAGGGCAAAAAAAGAAACTAGCCACTCATTTATTTAAGAAACATTGACATGAATTGCACTAACATGGATGGAGTTAGAATATTATGTTAAGTGAAATCAGTCAATCAGAGAAAGACAAATACCATATGATTTCAATCATATGTAGAATTAAAAAAAACAAAACAGTGAGGAAAGGGGGGAAAAAAAAAAGAGAGAGAGAAACCAAGGAACAGCCTCTTGACTATAGAGAACAAAGCGGTGGTTACCAGAGGGGAGGTGGGTGGGGGGATGGGTGAAACAAGTAATGGGGATTAAGGAGTGCACCTGTTGTGATAAACACCACGTGTTGTATGGAAGTGTTGAATCCCTACATTGTACACTTGAAACTAATATAACACTATGTTAAACTAACTGGAATTAAAATAAAAACTTTTAAAAAAATTAACACTAATTAACTAATGGTCATACACAAGTTGCTGTAGCAGATGCTGGGAGACTGAAAGGAGATTTAGGGGAGAAGGATTCCAAGTTCTGTATTAGTGATGCAGACAACACCGAGGAAATGAAAAGTAGACCAACAAAGATGGCAACAGAGCATGTGGAAATGCCAAAAGGAGCCTCAGGGAGATTGATTCACTTCCTGCAGTTTCCACATTAAGTATACAGAAAATAATGGGTATCATAGACTTAGTTCTTGAAGTTTGATATTTGGTGTGTCTAGAACAAACCATGGGAAATTTGGTGAATGCTGCATCTGTGGGTCTTCAAGAAGCAGAAACCTCTCCATCTGGCCTCAGAACCAAGAAGTGAGAAAGGGAGAAAAAACTTACTCTTAAAACCCTATGTAATTACAGACGGATGAACACCTAGATTTGTACTACGTCAGCCTTTGTCCAATGGGTTGACCAATGGCGATTTTTCTCCAGTATTTGTGAGTCCTTGATGGAAAATAAGTAGAAGAGCAAAACTCTGGTCATCATCAAGCAAAATATCAGACAGTAGGATTAAGATCTAGTGCCCTGCGTATTCATCGGTCTACTTCTTCCCTAAGGCACAATATAGTTATCCTCATTTTATCATTAATGTCTCATTTTTCAGGGGCTTTTACCTTGTAAAAATGGGAGATATGACTGTATGCATCATTATTTAATTCTCCTCTTCTTCATGGGGACACAGGAGATTGTACTTTTCAACCCTGTTACTTTTGGTTGGGTCCATGTGGCTATTTCTGTCCAGTGGGTTGTGAGAAGTAACATGTATCATTTTGGGGGTGAGGTCTTTCAGCTTCCTCTGTCCTGTCTTTTTTTTTTTTTTAAGCTTTATTTATTTTAGAGAGTTAGAGCATGCACAAGTAGGGGGTGGGGCCAAGGGAAAAGGACAGAGAGAATCTCAAGCAGACTCCCCACTGAGCATGGAGCCCCATACAGGGCTTGAACCCATGACCCTGAGATCCTGACCTGAGCTGAAATCAAAAGGTGGACACTTAACCAACTGAGCCTCCCAGATGCCCCTTCTTCCCTGTCTTGATATTTGGAGATCACATCTTAAGATTATAGAGAAAATTATGATGGAAAATTCACTCTAAATATATGATGTGACTGAGACCCGAAACTATTCAGCATTAGATTGAAGTGAAGAGAGAGACTGTTTGCCCAAGTCATTACTTGGAAAGCAGTTACTCTGAAGAGCCACAGCCAATACTTTTGAGTGAAAAGAACACATTTTTTTGTGGTCATGGTTGTTGCATGAAGCCTCGGAGATTTAAGCATTTATGTTTTGTACCTAGACTAGCCTATCCTGACATTAGAGAGAGAGTCAGCATAATATCCTGTCTCCACCTTCTGTGTTTCTGAGATTTTTAAAGGGGGTTGAAAACGTCCTTAAAGAGATCTAAAGACATATGTCAGATGCCAAGACCTAAAGTATGCTACTATATATTACTATATATTACTATATATTATGCTACTATATATTACCAAACTTCTGGGGAACATCTTCAGAAATCTTTATCACATAGATATTCTAATTGTAAATAATATGGCTATAGGAATTTTTAAACAAAAACTTGATATTAACTGGGAACTTTCCCAAAATCTTGTGATCTTCAGTGGCCTGAGGAGATTTGGCTACTTATCAAATACTTGCAAGACTTTTTTTTTTTTTCCAGAATACTTACATTTCTCCTGAGGCAACTAAAACTTCTGATTTGACAGTGAAAACCAAAAAAAAAATGTTTCCTCAGGGGATAGTATTGTTAACAATTACAAACTCAATGCAGTCCTCTTCAGCACTATCAGACCTCCATGGTCCGTGTTATGTGTGGAGGAGGGCACAGTCTCAGAGACACATGTATTAGATACCCAGTGTAACAGAAACAGAGCTGTAGTGGGGGTTCTACCTGCAGAAAAAAACATAGCATCCTCCCCTTCCACATTTTGATCCACTGGATGATGCAAACTATTGACACCTTCTTTGGCCTCGCCCTGTCCCAGGTAAAGAGTGTGAGCGCTCTGTGGATGGCAGGCAGCTCTGCCCTTTCTCTAGGAACTAAGAAGGAAACTGGAGAGCTCATAAAAACAGCACCTACTCTGTGAACAGGCAAGGTTTTAAAATAGTCTCTTACATTTTGTTCTCCTTCCAAGAAGGCACATGGCTCAAATCCACTTAGGACTCTGTATTGCCTTTCCACGGCCATCCCTTTGACTGTCACTTTGATGCAAATAATTCCCATATCAGTATTTTTAAACCTCAATTCTCTCTCTGCCTCATGTATTACGTTTCTACCCACTCACAGAGTGCCTCCACCCAGAGGTTTCACCAATGCCACAAACTAGATGTGGTTGAGAACATGGGCTCTCGAGGTGGACAGGCCTATTTTCCTATCGCAGCTCTGGCCTGTATAGGCTGTGTGACCTTAAGTCAGTTTTCTAAACACTGGGCCTTAGGCTTCTCAGCTGTGAGATGGGCATAATAATAAAACCTGTATTACTTTGTGTCTCAGGCTAAGGAATAGATCTCTCTCTATATGGATGTTTATTGTATCTACTATATCTTTATATGCCTTAAATGGTTCCAAATTTTTAAAAAATCAATTGCAAAAAAAGTAGTAGATAATTAACCTCCTCCTCAGGATGGATGTGACAATTCAATGAAATTGGGCACATATTTTGCGACAAATACTTTTCGAGTGCTCACCTTGTGCCAAGAACTGGGGATAAAAATATGAACCAAAGCAGTTAGAGCCCCTGCCCTCAAGATGCTTCAGCTTAATGATACCAGCTACTTTATTACTTTCTATCTAATACCAGAGCCACCTCTTGACCTCAGAATTTCTCATGTTGGTCCCAATCACTCAAGCTCAAAATCTCGGGGTTTTTTTTGGCTTATGCCCATCTCTGGCCCCCATGTGCAGACCTATGGAGATTCCCTCCCCTGCAGGCACTCCTTCAGTGGATCCCTCCACCGTTCTTGAATCTCCAGTCATGACTCTAATTCAGGTCTCACTGCTTCGTCCTGGCTGGAATGATAGGCTCTGCAGCCAGATTCCTCTTTGTAAAAAGCCACTTCAGTCATGGCCCTCTTCAGCTGACAAGCCTTCAAGGGGTTTCCAGCTGCCTTCTGAATTCAACACCATTCCCTTATTCCGTCATTTCA